GTTTTCTGGTGGTTTATTGGAGATAGGAGTCTCACGGTCTCTCCTGCCCGGGCTGGCTTTGAACCGCGATCCTCACATCTCAGCCTCCTGAGTAGCTAGGATTACAGGCGTGAGCCACCAGCACCCGGCAGAACTTACTGTTTTCTCTACACCTATCATAGAAGTCAAGAGGAAACCAATAACTCTTGCTTTAAATACAGCCTGCTAAAAATGTGTTTGATCTGTGTGGCAAAGCTTCCATACAGTCTATGAATAATAGGCATTCTATTTTAAAACTTCTTCCCTTACTGGCTACAGCCCTGGCTTGCTTTGTGTATTTTAGAGCTCAGGCTAATGTTACCATTGCAGTCATTTCAAAGCCCTAACCCTTTCCAGATGGAGTTAATGGAAGTTCCTAAGTTCAGTGGGGGTAGAGGCGTGCACAGTGCTCAGAACATAACCTCTGCCCTCACTGTTGACATTTTGGCATCCTGATTTAGCACCACTACCTCCATCTGTCTGTCTCCAGCTGAGTGCGGTGGCTTTTTCCCAAAGATGGAAATGCAGTTGGAATCGCTACTTCCCAAAGCCTAGGAATATCTCAGAAGCATTCCAGCGAGTGATAAGAAAGGTCGATGGGACCCAAGAGCCTTTATGCTGATGCTCCAAGTGTGGGAATGAGCTCGCTCATGCTGCTTGCTGGTTGTGGAGACCCCAGGGGAGCAGAGGAGTAAGCCCTTTAGGCCTGGTCAGGCAATGACAACATGGTAGCTGGGTGAAACTTGGGAAGCAATACAGGCTGCGTTCCTAAGTCCAGGTACTTTTCTAAGCAAAAAGGACCTGTTTCCTCCAATCTCCCCATTTTACATAAGCAGACACCGAGGCTAGAGAAGCAAAGTGGCTTGGCTAAAGTTGCAAGTCAAATAGGTGGTGAATCCTACCATTCAGAGTCCTGACCGGAATCACTATGTGATTACCCCTGTAGGTAGGTCTGTCCCTAAGCTATCTTTTTTTTTTCTGGTACCAGGGCTTGAACTTGGGACTGTATGATTGCTTGATTTTTCTTGCTCACAGCTGGTGCCCTGCCACTTGAGCCACACCCCCAGCCTTGCTTTTTTGCTGATTATTTTGAAGATGGAGTCACAGAGACTTTTCTGCCGAGGCTGGCTTCAAACCAGGATCCTCCAGATCGTGGCCTCTTAAGAAGCTAGGATTGCAGGTGTGAGCCAACCGTGAATGTCTCCCTAAACTTATGTTTTAAGTCAAGATACAGGTCACTCGGCAACTCAAAAACATGACCCCATTCAACAAAGTGAAGGTTCAGATCTTCCTGGAATCACGACTGGCAAAAGCTAGCCAGTGGGCTGGGTGAGCTGCTACATGCCCATCTCTTTCTACGTGGAGCTAGGGATCCTACAGCGAAACAGACAACACACTTAAGAAACACAAGCAAAAGTGCAGTTATGCATCCCTTTATTTATAAACGATTTGGGAATGCCGTGTTCTGTCTGGGAGCAGGAGAGGGAGGGATGCAAAGAGGGAGAGGGGCTGATTCCAGTAGTTTGCATTATTCAGCACCAGAACAAATGCTTGGGCATAAGGTCGTGCTTTAACCCAGACAAGTCACCATCATCTTGGTTTGTATGTACAAGTCTTAAGCGTGTATGCTCTTCTTATGGCTTTGTCCCCAGACACATTGCAGTGACAGAACAAATAAAACGAAGGAGGAGTCTAAAGAGAAGTTGAAAATGCCTCATGAGCTATCCCCCCCCACCCCGCCCCCCTGCCACTCTCTTGTGGAGACCAATCAGGACTAGTGCTGAGAGGATGCCTGAGGACTAGGTACATACATCTCTGTTAGATTCAGCTGGGCCACTCATGAAGCCGTCTCGCCTTTCCTTTAAGTATGACTGGGTTCCTAAAGGAAGTCCTGGGCAATGGAGAGAAAATAAGCCTGTGCTCTTCCTTCCCTCCCCACCCTGCCCCCCAAGGAAGGGCTCGCACAGTGTGCATCGAGCAAGGCATCCTACAGCTGTGTCTCTTCCATCCAGAGCAGGCCAGAAGCCAGGCTTCATCCATGTCTTGCTCTTCATGGGGGTTGGCTTGCCTTTGCCTTTTGAAGGTCCTGGCACACAGCAGCTCGCTCACCACAAAGGGGTCATGCCTTGAGACACTCCATTGCATTTCAAAGCCATGCCTGTTGTAGAGCTGCAGGAGGGGAGGGTCACCATTTAGTTTCAGAGTCCCCTTGGGAGACTCTGGGAGTTCTAGAAGAAGCATGCCCAGAGGCAAGGACCTACCCGCTGCATGGGTATCTGCTAACTTTCCAGGAGGGGCCCAGGTTAACCCTGGCAAAAGAGAGGAAAGTACCTACCCTCCAACTTCCCCCCTGCGTCACTGACATTTCCTCTCATCTCCATCACTGTCCGTTCACTGTCCTGAGTTATTGTCCTCAGTCTTGATAGAGCAGAAAGAATCTCTTTCCCTGCCTTTTGTCATTGCTCATTACTTCTCTCGCTTACAACATGCTTACTGTATGCATTCCTGTTTTTTTTTTCTTTTTGGAGGGGAGATGTCAGTCAGAGGGCTTGAACTCCAGGCCTAGGTGCTGTCCCTGAGCTCTTTTGCTCCAGGCTAGCGCTCTACCACTTTGAGTCACAGCTCCACTTCCGGTTTTCCGGTGGTTAATTGGAGATAAGAATCTCATGGCCTTTCCTGCCAGGGCTGGCTTTGAACCACAGTCCTCAGATCTTAGCCTCCCGAGTAGCTAGGATAACAGGCATGCCCCACCAGCACCCGGCTCTGTGTGCATTCTTATTGTAGCCTTAATTCACTCTCTTGGCCATAACAGTTGACTGGGTGGCACAAAGTGTGGCCACAGTTCTTCCTGTGTGGAGGGAAAAGGCTCAGAGAGACTGAGAGGCAACCAAGAACACTCAAAAGTTGCATTCCAGAATCCTCCCTATATTCCTTCTCAATAGACTTAGGGCCTTGTGAAGGTGGAGAGGCGCAGGTTAGGAGGAGGAGATTTTGAACCCACTTACGGGTTGCATTAGCTCATCCCTGAACATTCCCAGTGCTGGTCATTTCCCATAATTGGCAGCTATGGTGGCACAATCTGCGTCATGTGATGTGGCACCTGTCAGTATGGTGTGTAAGGCTTGCAAATTTAAAGTCAGTCATCTACATCAACCCCATACTATTTGCCCCAGAGCAGGACATGGGTAAAAATGGATCCACCTGCACTGGGGTATGGAGTCATAGCATTCAAAGACCTGCCCAAGAGAGACTTTCATGTATAAAATGAGGTCCTAAAATGGCTTAAAGAAGATTTTTTTTTCTTTTACTTCACTACCTGATCTTCTTCTTCTTTCACTATCACAAGTCTTAATCAACTGACATGGTAGGCATACATGCACGGTCAGTCCTGGATGCACGGTGGACAGAAGAGGACAAGGAAGCAAGATGGAGGAATGAAGCCTTTTCCTCTCTCGGGAGAGTCTTGATGAGAGAACATCCCCTTCTCACAGGCCATGTTCCTGCCAGCCCTCTGTCCTGCAGGAGAACTTGACAGAGTTCTGCAGAAAGAACGTAGAACAAGGTGATTTCCAAGCTTGCTTCACCCCATCATCTTGCCTTCCAACAAATACTACTCATTTTCAGGTTGGAAGGGAGGTAGGCTTCAACACAAAGGGGAAAGACAAAACATGCTACCTTCCTTCACTGGTCGTCCCCAGAAAACTTGTTCGCAAAGCCTCTGAAATAGGATGCTTCTGTTACAAGAGGTGATAGGCTCTGCCCACAAGTTGCTGGTTGAGGTCTCTGCTCTGTCAGGCCCTAGCTCTGTCTGACTTTAGCAGGATAACCAGGCAATATCTCCTTCTACCCAAGAGTGTCAATCTTGACAAGGCCCCCTGTATGCACCAAGGGAACTGTAACTTCAGGCAGTTTCTGTGGGAAGCTTAGGGTATTCATCCCATTAGCAAACTTAAGGCCAGAAACAAACAAACAAAACACCTCATACTACTACCTAAACCATTCAAAGAACTAAGTCTATAGTTCCTTGAAAAGCTGTCCAGAGCCTCCTTCTACCCCCAAAAAATATTGGAGGTCCATGAGAACAACAGTCATTTTCTGGTCGGAAACAAATATTTCTACAGAAATCTAGAATGAGCTTTTGACAAAATGTCCAAGTCACAAGAGAACCAGATGGTTCTTTACATCAAGGGTTTCAGCAGGACATTAGGGTGGAGAGCAGGAGAGAAGTATACAGAAAAATGTCTCCACCATATAGTCATATTGCATATGGTATTCACCTTAGGGTAGCATATTTGGAGCATACATGGAACAGATACGTGCAGGTAGCACCCCCTATTTTTATACTATGTTTGGTACATCGAACTGTTACTCGAGGTCTATGAAACTGAATTGGTCAGAAATGGAAAGAGCATCCTTGAAGGAAAAGCTTCAGACATTTGTCATATGCCACACTTGGTGTCAAAGCAAAGCAAAATCCTCTTTTTTTCTTTTTTTTTTTTCAAAGACAAAATGGTTTTCCTTGTTGCAGTTCCCACCAATGAAGGTAATTTCTAGAAAGCAATGAAGTCACACCAATGATAAGAAGGTACAGCCAAGAGCATGTTAGGCTTTAGTTCATCTTGGAAAAAAAAATTCTCCTTTGAATGAGAAATTAAGGTTCATTTTAGATCATCTTCTGTATCTAGCCCAAGAGGAAGTTGTGTCAGTGAGCCACAGCTCTGGAACTAGAAGGAGCTGATCCATTGCAATCTCAGGTTTGGGTGAACTGAGCAGGCTAGAATTTGTCTTTAAACTTGACGATTTCTTTGCCACATTGATTGGAAATGAACTTATTCTGGCAGAGCTTGGATGGTAGGAGGCAACGTGCAGGGCCCTTAGAGAGCTGGAAGTAGCAGGTTGAGGGAACAGCCAATTTCCACAAGTGGTTTCTTTGATGAGGATTTGTGTACAGACCAAAGCAGAAGTCACCCCAGCGAGTGCAAGTGTTCCTAGTGTGCCACACCGTTCCTTAGCAAGGTTAAAGTGGAGTGACTCTAGATGATGCTAAGAAGGTTGGTGCAGGTTGTCTGGCTGGAAACCTCCATGCGGAGCTCATGGTGGGCTGGGTGGAGAATGAGGAAGATCTGGTCCCACCTGATATCTTCCTGTGTCAGAGCTCACGGTCTCCCTGCTGAGCTGCAGCTCCAGTGACTCTTCTACTTCAAACACCACTCAGGCCTCCTCAGAACTCCCTCCTCCCCTTCCTGTGTGGTGTGGCTCTTGCTTGCCAGCCTCCCTCCTTTACTTCTCATCCTCATCTCCCTCACTCATGCTACTGATGGAGGCTGAGGCTGCTTTGGGTGAGGAAGGAGGGGAAGTTTTGATTGGGAGCCATGAGAAGGTAGGGGATGGGGAACGTGAAGGAGACCGGCTCCTTGTTGGGCTGCTCACAGGGCTCTGCTTTGGGGATAAGGCCTGTAGCATCCGGCTACTCCTCTCTTGGAACATCTGCTTCTAAAGAGAGATTGGAGAGAAGGCATCTGTTAACATAACAAAGGCAGCGAGCAACTAAACAGAAAGGAAAGATAGGCTGGAAAGCCACTCCCTCAAACACCGCACCCACAAACATAGACTTCCATGCTGCCCCAGACTATGAGTGGGACAAGAATTAAGTGAAATTCTGGGGTAGGGAGGCTGCCAGTATCTAAGATTACAATTACTGCTAATTCTTGGGCCTCTTCTTACCTTGTGTCTCCCAGCTATACAATTTAACTGAGTATTTCTAAGTTGACGGGCACAATTGTAATGTCCTAGTTACTGGGAAGGTAGAATAAACTAGAACATTAACTTCTATCATCATGGATGTGAGGAGGAATCACACAATAAACAAAAAACAAGGTATGGAACTGTGAGAAAAACAAAATGAGAGAGGATCGCAATTAGGGATAGAGGTAGGAATGGGACACTCAGGAAGGCCTCGCTTTGAAAATACTTATTTGAGCAAAGACCTGGAACAGATGAGGGAGGGAGTCCATGAGTGAGAAGCATGGAGAAGCACTTTCCAGGAAGACAATCTCAAGAAGACACTGAGGGATGTGCCGGGAAGAGCAAGCAGGCTGGACTAGGGTCTGCTGGGTGGGGAGTGGAGCAAAGGAAGAGTTAGGTTGGGATTACCAGAGAAGGGGTAGAGGGCTGTGCCACTGAGAATCTTGGCAGCAATTGTGGTAACTTGGTGTTGTTAATCTGAACGGAACCACACAGGTATGGTCAAGGGGAGGAGGGAGGATATTGCGATGAGAAGTAGGGAAAGGGGAGAATGGGAAGCATTGGGGGAGATCATGCCAGAGAAAGAACAGGAGGCTCTTTCATCTCTCAAGAGACGAGAAGCAGCTGGAGAGCTCTGAGCAAAGCAGTAACCCAATTTGCTTTTTCTTTTCCATCGACCTCTCTGAACAGAGACCAATGAAGGTACCATCACAATAGGGATTCTCTATTGTGGTGGCTCCTAGCTCAGGATAGCTGTGGTGATATTGGAAGAAACAGAAAACAAAAAAATGTTAGAAGCCCGGCTCACGCTTGTAATTCTAGCTACTCAGGAGGCTGAGCTCTGAGGATCACTGTTCAAAGCCAGCCTGGGCAGTTAAGTTCCAGAGAATTTCCAATTAACCACTAGGAAACTAGAAGTGGCGCTGTGGCTCCAAGTGTTTGAGCACTAGCCTTGAGCAAAAACAAAAACAAAAAACACCTCAGGGACAGTGCCCAGGACTTGAGTTCAAGCGCTATGATCTACCAAAGAAATCTAGATTCCCAATATATTGTTCCCCTAGTTCTTATTAAGGTCTAATGAACTCATTCATTTTCAGGGACAGTTCTTTGAGTTCTGAAAAATGCATCTAATTGCAAGACCACCACCATACTCAGCTCCCATATTTCTTTATTGACCTTTGAAGTCACCCCCCCCTTACCCAATCTCTTACAACAGATCTGCTTTCTGGCCCTCTGCTTCTGCCCTATCTACAATGTCATCAAAATGGATTCCTACCATCTGGCTATATTTTGAAGATAGAAGCAATAGAATTCACTGTCTAATTTTTTAATAATGCAAAGGAAGAGAAGTTAGAGATCAGTGTAGCACCATGGGGACTAGTGGATGGAGAACCAGCTTAAGACAGTACTAAGTACAAGTTTCTTGCCCTGACTAGACTACCAGTAGCCTGGATCTGGAGTATAGAAGGAGGCGGAATTGCTTCCCGAGGAGCCCCAGGAAGGTTTTAATCAAGGGAGGTGTATGACCAAATCTGTACTTCAGGAATATATCTGAATGTGAACAAAAAAAGGAAGGAAAAAAAGATTGATTTTGCAGGGCTGGGGATTGAACTCAGGGCCCTGAGCTTGCTAGGAGATGCTCTACCACTTGAGCTACTCCTCCAGCTACTTTTTACATAGTTTATTTTTGAAGTAGGGTAGGAACTTGCTTTGTGTCCGGGTCAGCTTGGGCTGTAATCCTCCTATTTGTGCTTCTCCACATCACTAGGAATGACAGGTTGCTTCCACCATGGCCCGGATAATGGGTATGGGCTACAACATCCAGTCATTGGTTAAGATGGAGTCTGCTAAACTTTTTGTCTGGCTTAGCCTCAAACTGTGATCCCCAGATACCTGCTTCCCAAGTAGAGAGGATCACAGACTTGAGCCACCATAACCAGCAAAGATGACTGTTTAACTACATAAAAATTTAACTTTTGGGGTGACATTATCCAAAAAGAAATTTACTCTTTACCTGACTCATGCAACTGTAACCTCTCTGTTTAACACCTGTGTAGTAACAATTCAAAACCTTCTAAAAAATTAAATAAAAATAAATAAAATTTACTTTTAAATTTAAAAAATAACTTTTGTACTTCAAGACAAACCAAAAGAGCTAGGGATGTAACTCAGAGGTAGAGTGCTTGCCTAGCAGACACTCACATAGCCCAGGAAAAATGTACATAAATAGGCACTCATGCACACATGTACATACATGTATGAACATACATACACACACACACACAAAGAAAGACCATCATGAAATAAGATAAAAAGGAAAAGATTTAAAAAATAGGCAAAAATATCAAGACAGTTAGCCACTGAGGCTGGGGCATTACTGCAATGGGAGAACACCCGCTTAGCACACGAGCTCCATCCCAGCTCCACACAAATGTAAATAACTAACTACTACAAGTCCTAGTGCATAAACAGCGCTTATAAATAAAAAGGAAAAGACTACACAGAAACACGAAATAAACCAGGCATGACGCCATGTCATCCCAGCACTCTCCAGCTGTAATTCTAGTACTCAGGAGGCAGAGATGTGACAATTACAGGTTCAAAGCTAGCCTGGTCTACCCAGTAAGACTCCCTGAGTGAATGAGTGAATGAATGAATGAATGAGTGAGAACCTAATTTTTAAAAAGTAGATGGCAAAAGCAATTTATAAATGGAAAATGTTCAGTATCACTATTAATCAAACATGCACATGATTAAAATGTAAAATACTGAGAGAGAGTGAGGGAAGGAGTGATATTGTCCAAAAAGAAATGTAGTCATTCCCTGACTTATGAAACTCTAACCCCTCTGCGCATCACCATTATAATAACAATAAAAATTTTAACATAAAATACTTTTTATATCAGATATTAGAGATTTTTTGTAAATGTGCAGGTCCTGAGGCTTGAACTCAGGGCCTGGGTACTGTCCCTGAGCTTCTTTTGGCTCAAGGCTAGCTAGCACTGTACCACTTCAGCCACAGAGCCATTTCTGGCTTTTTTGGTAGTTAGTTGGAGATAAGAGTCTTACAGACTTTCCTGCTGCAGGTTGGCTTCAAACCATGATTCTCAGATCTCATCCTCCTGAGTAGCTAGGATTACAGGTAGGAGCCACCAGCACCTAGCTAATTTTTAAACATATTAATGGCTAATATCAAGGGCCCAGGGAAAGACCATGCTTGTGTTACTACTGGTGGGAGGGTAATGGAGTAGCACTTCTCTGAGGGATAATTTGGTAGTAGTTGCCAAAGCTATTTTTTCCTCAGGAGACATGTTATTAAATTTATTGTTATTGTGTATATGTGGATACACGTATTTATTGTGCATATGCATATTCATTGCAGCATTGTAACAGGCCAAACTGCAAGCTCCCTAAATAGGTCAGGATATCTAATACAACTTAGGTGATATACTAAGCAGATGATGAAAATTTGTTGTTACAAATCGTTAAATAATATGATAAAAGATTGGGCCCTGGTGGCTCATACCTGTCATCCTAGCTGCTCAGGAGGCTGAGATCTGAGGATCAAAACCAGAAAACTGGAAGTGGAGTTGTGGCTCAAAGAGGTAGAGTGCTAGCCTTGAGCAAAAGAGCTCAGAGACAGCACCCAGACCCTCTGTTCAAGCCCCATCACGGTAGTAATAATAATACAAAGCAGAAGCAGCAGAAGAAGAAGAAAAGACAAAATGTTCATGAGTGATTGTGAAATCAAAATGATTTTAGAATAGAAAGGTTTCAATGTTGTACCAAGAATGTGTATAATGCCAATGGAAAAAGGATCTGGGTGGTGGGTTTGCAAGTGTTTTTAAGTCTTAGTTTTCCTTGCAATAATTCTGTACCCTTCATATCTGTGAGCTACATCCCCACAGGTTCAGCCAACCATTAACCAAAAATGTGTCTGCACTGAACATATATGACTTTCTTCTCATTATTCTCTAAAAAATACAGTATTAACAGCTATTTATGTAACATTTACATCGTCTTAGGTGTTAAATATAATCTAGAGATGCTTTATTCAGGAAGATGTGTACAGGGTCTGTATAAATGCTATACCACTTTGCACAAAGGGCTTTAGTAACTTGGGTATATGAGAGAAGGCTTGGAACAAATGTGTTGCAGATACCAAGATATGTCAACATATTGGTTTTACCATCATAAACAAATTTACAGTAAGAAGAAACTTGCATAACCTGGGCAGAGAGATCAGGCAAAGGGGCAAGTACTGTAATAATGACTTAGGTGAGAAAATATGAAGACCTCAAACATATCATTAACTCCCCCCAGGTACTGACTTTCCTTTCCTGGACTCTAGCCAAGTTTTTTTTTTAATCTCAAGTTTCCTCTAGCAGATAGAATAAGAGATGACTTGCTGATCATGAAGATCCTTTCCAGACTTGAAATTCCACATGTCTACAAATACACCGATTATTTACCTTCCATTAAGGGCACTGATAATTCTGCCAAAAGACATCCAATCCCCTTCCAATCAAACAGCAGGGAAAAAAAAAAACCCCGCACAGTACAACAGTATTCACTTAGATTAAACCCATTTGTGAGACAAAGTCAAATGCTAGAAGGATTGGGTAGCCTATTATTAACAGCAACATTAAAAAAAAATCCTTGAACTTTTAGCAGGCACTTTAAAATATGTGTTTTTATTACTGTAATCTTTAAGTATATTTTTAGTGGCAGCCATTAGCCCTCCTGCT